CGGTGGAGGCGCTGGGGCGGGTGGCCCGGCTAGCCGCGCTCTGCCGGGCCCTGCGGCGGCGGGAGGCCGAGGGCGACGAGGCGGGCTGGGCCCAGGCGCGGGAGGAGGCGGAGGCGACGCGGCGGGAGCTGCAGGAGGTCGTGAGGCCCCTGAGGGAGCCCGGCTATCGGGACGCGCTGCGAAGGAAGGCCGAGAGGGCGAGGAAGAGGAGGCTGCGCCTGCAGCGGAGGAAGCAAGAAGCCAATGCAGCCAAGGAGGAGGAGGCGGCCCGGGCAGCCGAGCGGGAAGCCAAGATCGACCAGTGGAGGGCCAAGTGCATCCAGGAGGTGGAGGAGAAGAACCGGGTACGGCCCCATCCTGGCTGCAGTGTCGCCTCCCGGGAACTCCTGCGCGTCCCTCTGGGGCTCAGGGCAGCGTGTCAGGGCCGGGGGGAGACCTGCTGGTAACGGGCTCGCAGCGGGTTGTGCCTGCCCGATGGCACCTGGTTTGGGCCCACGAGGTTCAGTAGGTGCCGCTTGGGTGCTGCGTGGGTTTGGCTTGCTTGGAGACACGCTGTTTCCGAGGCCTGCTGCCCTGCTTCTCCCTTAAGAGCTTTGGTGGGCATCTCAGCTTTGCCACGCTCATGTTCTAGGTCTTGCCAGTTGGGGTTGAAGCAGTTTCTGAAATTTCAGTTGCATGTGGAGGTCTTCCTCTCTGGTCCCAAGCTGTCAGCCTGCCCCACTCTGCTCACAGCTACCCTGTGGTGGTCGGAGCCGTTTCAGTCACAATAAGCCTTAACTCTTGGCTTCGTCCTTGTAAAGCTTGTTGTTTACAAGCTTTTTGGTCTCATTGGGACATAAAATGTCCAAAGCAAAAAAACCCAAAAAACAAAAAAACAAACCTCAAAATAAGCTTGCTGGGAAGTGCTACAGGCACCTTTGTGTCGGCTGTTGGCTAAAGAGCTGCCCTTCTCCTGGTGCTAGGTCTGCCTGGGATGGTACAGACCAGCTGTTGGGAAAGGTTTTGTGTTCAGACTGGCATGTTAACGGCCGTTAATTGCTAAGTTGTAGAATCGGAATGGTTTATATTTATTGTTAATATTTTTTCTAACTTTCTGTAGTTAAAGGTTATAGGCTTTATGTATTCTTCAGCCATTTGGCCCAAATTTATGAGTTTGTCAATATTCTTTTTTTGTTTCTTGAAGTCTATCATGTTTTAGCTTTTTCATAAAAAAGGCAAGGTTGCATGGTTGACTTAAATGGCTATGGCTGTGTTAGTGAGAAATTAGATCTCCAGTGCTTTGCTTATCTTTTTGAAAGTACCGTTTCATTCTTGTCTACATGGGATATTTCACACATCATGTCTTGATTTTTTTCTTTCTTTCATAGGAACGAGAACTTAAGGCTGCTGCAGACAGTGTCTTATCTGAAGTACGGAAAAAACAAGCAGACACAAAGAGGATGGTGGACATCCTGCGCGCATTAGAAAAGCTTCGGAAACTGAGAAAGGAGGCTGCTGGCAGGAAAGGTTAATTATAAGATTTTTACCAAACTTTTTTAATTGTGCACGTAGGAAATAAGGTGATGTGCCTGCCCTTTGCTGACTAGCAAGCTTGACAAAACTGTTGTTAGTGATTTTAGTTACATTGTTATGTGAGAATAACTATAAAATGCTGAACACAGTGATTGCATTCCTACATTTCCAAGCTCTTTCTTGATAGAAGAATTACTCCAGTAAGTTAGTTGTTAGCAAGGTTAAGCTCGTGTTCCTCTGAGATTTTGCCAGCTCCACTCTAAAGTCTGATAACAGAGCGCCTTCTGAATTTGGAAATTTTAAATTGATTCTCTTTCTGTTCAGGTGTTTGTCCACCCCCCTCAGCAGACGAAGCATTTGAAAGTCAAGTGGAGAGTCTCAAAACGTTGCTCAAAAATCGCACAGAGTTGTATGAAGCTGAGGAGAGAGCATTAAGAGTTATGTTGGAGGGGGAGCAGGAGGAGGAAAGGAAGAGAGAAATGGAAAAGAAACAGAAGAAAGAAAGGGAAAAACTCCTACAGCAGAAGCTCGAAATTGATTCTAAGCTGTTTGGAGAGCCAGGTAAATTCTACATGCCATACTCAACAGTAGTTTTCCACCCCCCCATCTCATAGACACTAGGTTTAAAATGCAGACCCAAAAATAGTTGAGAAAGAAATCATCCACTGGAGTAATTTATGGTCTGAGGAAAAGATGGAATAAACATAGTGTGCTGTTAACACATGTGATGTAAGAACTGTTTAGCTCTTCGGCAAAGACTGCAGTATATCTCAAGACGATTTCATAATGTTTTGCAAGAAGAGGTTGTAGATTAAGCTGAAGTGAGAATAAACAGAATAGATTGAAGACTTCCAGCACCCAACAGATGCTTTAGTCTGCTGATTTGGTAAGTGTGACTTGGGTAATCTGTAAAGATTCAGTGTCCATATGTTCCCCTTGTTTAGAGGATGGAGGCAGGAAAAGTTTTGCTAGTCTTAACTTGCCTCTGACAGCTCTGGTAAGGATGAGGAGACATGCAAAACACATAAATGTACTACACAGGGAAGTGATTTCCAGTTCTAGCTGGGGAGCAGCAAATGAGTTGGCAACTTTGGGACTTCTGAGACTTACTAGAATTGACGGTCTTTCTGGTTTATTGAATGATTTCTGTGTTTGTGTTTTACCAGATGAATTTCCTCTAGCCCACCTCTTGCAGCCCTTCAGAGAATATTACTTGCAAGCGGAGCATTCTGTAGCAGCTCTAATCCAGATCAGGTAAAAACAAAGTCTTTATCTTATTAGCAAAGATGAGAAGTATTTGTTGACACTGTAAAATTATGGTCCATTTTAGTTCGTTAACTTCCAAATATGGTTATGCAATGAATTGTCCTGCTTTTTTTCAGATAAGGATCAAGCTTCTGTCTTGATAGAGTTGTATCCAAGAGCTGCCTGTGTGAGGCAGAGTGCACTTCCATGCATAACGGTTCTATTTAATAGATTAGTACATATATTTTTTCACACGTGTTTTGAAAATCAAGTCTCGGAGTGCAATTTATAGTGTTTTCTGTATTGATCAGCACGGGAAAAATATCTGTGTGGGTATATAATAAATTTTATTGCCAAACTCATACTGGCTCTCCTCTCAGACAACACTTTCTCTGTTAAAGGCATGAATGGGATCAGTACTTGGTGCCAGCTGATCACCCTGAAGGAAGCTGCATCCCTCCAGGATGGGTTCTTCCGAGTCTCCCCACAAATGACACTTGGGCCACTGCTGTCAGATAATTCAGTAATAAATTCTGTTACCATTGAAGGAATGTTTCATTATAATTGGGTGTGTAAATATGAGAGGGTCTGTAGAGGAAGGCGCATCCTCTGTTTTGGTAGCCAGGTACTGGAATGTCTTGAACTAAAGCGTAGGGACTGTTTTTGCCATCTTACTAGCAGGGAGCTACCTGAGCAAGCCCAAAGCTGCTGGGCCTCCCGTGGTATGGAATTACAGTCCCACTGTGAGTTTTTATTAACTAATCTCAATCTTAATAAAGAAACACTGCTGACAAGGGTATCTGTGCCAGTGTTAACATCCTATTTTTAGTGCCTTTTATCTTTATAAGCCTAAATCCATATGATGAAATCTCCAGAAATAAAGAAGTTTAAAAAAAAAGATCATTAGTAAACATGTTTTTCTTCTTAAATGAAGCATGTCAAGCATCACTGTCAAAATAGTTCCTGTATTTTTGTGTGTAGAAATGAACCTATTACAAGTTTAAACAAATTCTGAAGTACAAACAAGACAGGGTTTTTTCAAGGCTGACTAAAGCAGCTGTTGACATTTTACTTTTGAGGACTAAAACTGGTACCACAGCATGGAAAAAATTCCCAGTTGTGGTGAATTAGGTCAGACAGCCATGAGAATATAAATTTGATGAATTTGAAAAAAAAAAACCAGTAAAATCTGAAGTCTAACCTACTGTAATTTTTCTTGCCTATATAGCTATTTCTGTGTAGGGACAGATCATGTGTGTAATACTTGATTAAAAAATTCAGCTCTATTTTGTAAGTTGTTTTTTGTACAGAATAAATAGAGGAAAACTGATTTTTTTTTTCATTTGAAGCGTTTTTACTCTGAAGGAGAGATTTATTTTAGTACTTAGCATCCAATATGACTCCAGTGTGGAGAGAATTGCTGGCAAAAGGTTTGTGTGAAGGATCTTGTCCCTCCTACAAGGTGACAGAGGCATCTGATTTCAAAGCCTTCCATGTTCTAGACAGTTTGCTTGGAACAGCCGTGGGCTATATGGGTTTGGGGCTTTGCTGGTCTTGTCATGGCATCTTCCCACAGCCGCAGTCATTATTCTTGCTTAGCCTGGTTATGTGGGAATGGATTTAATCTTCTCTAATTCCTTACCTCTTCACATCACAACATCGTGTAGTTCATGGAGGAGGCAACATCAATTGCCTAAATTCAACATTTGGGCCTTTATATATATATAATGTTAATAGTTTCTCAGCTGAAGCTTTGCATTGATTTCTCTTGGTAAGAGCACACAAACTAGTAATTTCTGCTAGAGTTAGAATTAATCTGGGTGTACAAGCCTGCAGTTCTGTGTATCACCTACCTAGAGCACCCCAAAATACAGATTACCATGAGGTCCTTGGGGGAATTTGCATGTTCATGCATCCCCTCCAATCTCATTACTCTGAGACCTAGGGCTGGGTCAGATCCCGGCAAAAGTTCAAATAGCATTAAAACAATTGCAGAAATGACGCTTTCAGTCCCTGGAGGTTGCTCTGCTTAGACCGTTAGGCTCCTTATCCCATCAGCACGTCTGACGGGACAGGATAACTGCTTAAGGTACGATAATCCCAAAACTCTCAGTCACATGTTGTCTGACACTGCGATAGTGTAGAGGTCTGAGCAGTAGACAGCAGGCAGCATAGAAGCCACTCTGTTCTTCCTGCCTTGCAAGAAGAGCTCCATGATTTCGTCTGATGGTAAGGATAACTTCATATTATTAATAAAAATAGGACTTGAAAATGCCAGTGGTTGATGTGCATTTAGGTATATTTCAGTCCCTCAAGCTTTCTGTGGTTTATTCTACATATTTGCTCTTGTCTAGTGACGTCTGCATTAAAATGTTTTATATTTTTAGCGAGGAAGATGTTGAAGCCACAGATGGAAGAGGAATGTTTAAATCTTAACTCATAAAATACATGGAGACGGGGTATTGATTCTTAAAAAAACCTTCATGTATTCAGATTTAAGATTCAAAGTTGACTATAGTATTTCCTACTATTTTTAAGTTTTCAAAAATTATTATAGCCCAGAAGAAAAGAGGGGTTGGCTCTGAGTTTCTGAGACTCATGTGCATCCTATTCCTTCCCTGCTGCCAGTGCCATTAGGGTTTCTCATGATTTTAAGGCCCATCCTGACAAGAATTTGTTTTTTGCCAGCCTGTATCTCTGATGTGAAAGTGGGCAGGGCTGGCCTGAGGCAGATGAGGTCAGAACCCTTGTGGGAATTGCTTTCTGGTGTGAGTTGGTGTTTACGACTGACCCTCTTTAATTCTTGTCTTGTAGCTTTTTTGTTCTCAGCACTTCTCACCCCAACTTACGTCTTTTTCTCTGAGTAGTGATTTTGGAAATTAACACTTGTGGGACCCTTTATCAGAGTACAGTATTTATGCAGTGAAATACAGTGAGATGCAGTACTGTAATTATATTTTCTTCCTTGTGGCTTCACATGCATTTTCTGCCCATCCTCATCCCTTGAAGTGTTATTTAAAACCAAGTAAAGCCATTCTAGGGGATGAACAACCAAATATTCTTTTCCTTTGCACCTTTGTACAGCACAGCTTTTGGGAAGAGCTTGATTTACAGCGTAAGCTGCAAGGAGTGTCCATCTCTCCTTCAGGCACAGCCACGCAGAGGAGTTGGAGAAAGCTGGGGGAAGGCGGCTTTGCTTACGGATGTTTTCACACGTTGTCTTTGTCAGTGCTGACGTGAATTGTAACTTAGGCTGAGCCCTCTTAGACTGGGGAGCAGATGGCCTGGCTCTTTGCAGGCTCCCCACACGTTGCGTGTGTCGCGTGTTAGCAGCAGTACATGTGCGGGAGCCGCAGAGCTAGTTGGGGCTCTGCTCGCGCTACAGCCCCGGGTATTAACAGCTCCTGGCGTAAGCAGGCGAGCAACAACTCCTGTAATTCTGAGAAGAACAACTGAATTGAACCATATGATGGTGCATGTCACTCTTCCTGTGTGATCTAGAGGCAGTTTGTTAGTCCTTTGCTCACATAAGAAATGACTTTGAATACCATTTCCCATTAAACCCTTACTTTTGCATTAAACAGGCAGCATTTTCTTCCTTGTGTACTTTCATCTGCTTATTTTCTTTTGTAGAGTGTTTATCCTCATTGTCATAGAAGCCATTTCTTTTTAAAGGAAAAAAAAAATCAGTAACAGCACTTAGGGATGTCACAAGTCACCCTGTTTGTCTTGAGGGTGACTGCTAAGGACTTTGGGATGAACAAGCACAGGCTGCAGGTACCAGAACTTGGTGGAAGATTGACCATCAGCTCTTGCCAATTGACAGTGTATAAAGGAAATTATTTTCCACACTGTCATCGCTGAGAAACTGGGGACTTGAGGCTTCATGCAGGATGGAGTGGTTTTGTATTAAACCAAGACTTTTATCCAGAGCTGGTGGCTACGCTACTGCAGTAATATTTTCCATGACACCATTCCCAGTTCATCAGAAATTTTTCTCTCTTTCTCAGTAAGCTGCTGCAGCGCTGGAGGAGCTGCCCTTGTCCCGTCTCCCCCGGGCTGCTCTGTGTGATGGCTTAGCAGCACATGGCTACATGCATGAGCTCCGTGACCACGGATGCTCTCGGGTCCTGCAGAGAGAGGGAGGACCTCTGAGGTGTCCTCCCTGGCTGCAGTTTCGTGCTCTGTAACTGGAAGAAGTGTTCAGTCTGTCCCCAGCTTGGGAAAAGGAGCATGTGATGGGCAGCAGAGGGATGGGGGGAGGCAGGAGGAGGGATGGAAGGCACGGGCATGCACAGAGGTGGAAGTGGAGGAACAGAATACTCAGGACATCTGCCAAATTAAGCTGTCAGCTTGGTCAGGTCCTGCTGGATCAAGCTCAGAATAGCAAGGTTAGTTCGGACAAATCTCCTTGGTGTCAGTAATTAAGAGCGTGCATTGCAGACAGCAGTTTTTACTCAGCTGGCTGCATCTCTAAGGGCTGCATTCCTTTTGCCAGTGTCTCTTGAAATAACTCATCTTTCTCCCACCCAACTGAAAAGATGCTAGTCCTGGCTTTTATGGTTTTGTTTCATTCCTTCCTCTGGCAGTAAGAAATGAGGCAGCAGTGATGAGCTACCTGGATGAAGTTCCTTTCCGGATGGCCAGGAGCCTTGACGGGGACTCAGGGGGAGAAAACCCTTTAATCACTGCCCCGGACATCGAGCTCCCTGACTGCGCTGACATCCTCATGAGCACCATGGTGAGTCAGCTCTGCTTGCATCCGCACCTGGATTCACTTCTGGGGGGACGCTCAAGGGGATGTCAGCAGTGTTTGCCTTTTCTTGTGAAGGAAGGGAAACCTCTCCTCCTGACTGATCCTCTTAACTGGCTGGTTTGCAGTTGGAGTGGGAGGAGGTGAGGACGATTCATGGTGGGTGTGAGTGAGGAAGGGGTTGGTTTGGAGCTGTTTTTTTTTAATCCTGTCTAAGCAGGAGGGTTGGGTCTTTCTGGGATAGGAGGACAAACTTCAGGCTCTGCTCTGGGATCATTTTCTACTCTGGAATTGTCACCATCATTAATAATATTTATTAAATATATATTAATAAATCTAACAGATGCAGGCAACACTGCCTGTGCTGGTGTCATGGTTTAACCTCAGCCAGCAACTAGGCACCATGCAGCTGCTTGCTCACTCCTACTCCCTGCAGTGGGATAGGGATAATTGGAAAAAAAAAAAAAGTTAAAACCTGAGGGTTGAAATAATAACAGTTTAATGACTAAACCAAAACAAAATATGATAATAGTTATTAGTGAAAATTAATATAGCAAAAAGAGAGAAATAAACCCAAGAAAAGACAAGTGCTGCACAACACAATTGCTCACCACCCACAGACTGATGCGCAGCCAGGCCCCAAGCAGTGATCTCCTGGTCCCAGACAACACCCCCAGTTTCTATACTGAACACTACATTCTGTGGTATGGAAAAGCCTTTTGACTAGTTTGGGTCAGCTCTCCTGGCCATGCTCCCTCCCAGCTTCTTGGGCACCTGCTCGCTGGCAGAGCATGGGAAACTGAAAAATCCTTAACTTAGGATAAGCACTACTTAGCAACAACTGAAGCATGGGTGTGTTATCAGCATTATTCTCACACAAAATCCAAAACACACTGTACCAGCTACTAAAAGAAAATTAACTCTATCCCAACTGAAACAGGACAGCTGGCAACAGATATAGATATAGATATAGATATAGATATAGATATAGATATAGATATAGATATAGATATAGATATATAAAAAACTCCCCATCCTGTGGCATTGTCATCTTCCACATTGCTCAGACCTAAACTGCTTTAGAATCTACACCTATTACTTTAACTGCTTTGTCCACAATTTCAAAGCCCGGCATAGCGATTCAAAGGAGCTATTTGTACTCTCGAAGGGGTTTGGAAGCCTTTCCCTGTACATTGGCACTGAAAGCATGGAGCTGACTCTCTGGGCTTAGACATAGTGCTAGCACAGCTCCAGTTGAAGATAATTTCAGAAATACTTTGTGTGTTCAGCCTTAAACAGTCTCACCCGTAGATGGGGTCAGTGCACTTCATGGGGGAAGGCGAGCTGGGCGATCCCAAACAGCCTCCGCTCCCTCCTGGTGATGGGTGAACCAGCAGTAAACCCCACATCTGGCTTTTTTCTACTTCAGCCTTGCTCATCCCTCCCCCCAAAAATGACACATCTCAAATCCGCGGGACGTGTTTAACATGAAGAGTTGTCATGTTGTTCATTTTAAGCAATTTCTCTAACGTAAATTTAAATGCACACGGGTTTTGCCACCCGTGTAAAGGCAGGTGTTGGTCTGCATCCCCATGGACCAGCTGAGGTGGTTCACCACCCTGTCCTATCCTGGGAAACCCCCAGCCCTGGGTTTCTCCTTGGTCAGGGACACGTCGGTGCTCCCCGCCAAGGCCGAGCGATTGCGCTGGTGGCCTGACTGATCCTTGTCGAGGCACGTGGTGGTGTTTTCCTCGGGGAGGCTGGTTTGGGGCCACAGCTGACAAGTGGCAGGGTGTAGTAAAAACAGCATTCCTGGGCTGTGAATGTACTTGCCTGCCTGTCCGGAGGAAACCTTCTTTGGAGAGCTCTGGGACAGGCAGGGCTTATTTGTTCCAGGAAAACCCTCAGATTTCAGTCTCAAACATGCTTATATTTTAAGCTGGAGTACATGGAAATGACGACTCTGTTCTGGGACAGGCTGAGCCCCCAGTGCCATGGGAGATGCCCACGGCCAGTCTTCCCTCTGCTCAAGGTGGCATCTCCCCCTGTGGTGGCTCCCAAGCCACCGTGCCTGAGGTGGCTTTTCCAGGTGGCACTAATGGGTGCTGTCCCCTTCCACAGTAGCCAAACTGACACAAAACTGCCTCCAAGCGTAAAACACCTATCAAAAGAATGGTAGCTACAACTCAAAATAGTAAAAACTTCATAGGGTTTTTTCAGGTATAAATTTTGAGATTCCCTATAGGGATAAGGCTGGCACTGCCCAATCCTACAGCCCTAGTCTCTGCATCCAGCCCTGATGCTCGGGGAAGTAGGAGCCAACATGGGAAGGATGCAGCCCTCAATGCCCTTGTGAGGCGTGCGGTTTGCTCTGTGCCACATGGCCTGGTTTCAGATGCCCTCAACAGCTGCTTCTTGCTCTTCTGCAGCACGACTTCTCACTGGAAAGAAAAGTGCTTTACTGGGTCGAGGTGGCCTCTCAGCAGCATACCCCCCGACATCGGGTCACCTCCGAAGTTGTCCCCACGGCTCCGCCATGCTGGCTGCTGCTGGTGGACCCTGCTGACAGCTACGGGGGGAGACCACGGGACGGGGCAGTGCGGCGCTGCATCAGCATGAGCGCTGCCAACGGCAGCTACGGGCACACCAAGGGCAGAGGTGCCTTGTCCGACACTGAGAGTGAGATCCAGCACTCGGAGGAGGATGAGTACGAGGAGGACGACGAGTACTCCTCGACCTCCTGGGAAGAGAATGACAAGGATGAAAAGGTTTCCAGGAGGAGAAACACTGGGAGAGGTTTGACTCTGCATCCCGACTTTTACCAGGCCCGGCCAAAGACATCGCCTGGCTTGCTGGAGCCCTTGCCAGATAATAGTGGCTGCAACCTTGCCAGCCCAGACCTGAGCAAGCAGAGAAGATCCATGGTGATATTTAACAACATGAAGAATGAGCTGGAAGCGGCCAGAAGGAAGCTGGCTGCTTTGGTGCATCCTTTGAATAGAGCTGCTGTGATGAGGAGAGGGGTCCCCGTGCCGCGGCTGCTCCCCCCGCGCCACCGCACCAGCCGTAGTGTCAAGTACGGGCCAGCCCCGGACGTGTCCCACCTGGGGACCTTGGTGCCAGCTCCTCCGGCCACAGCCGCACCGATCCCCCCGATCAAACGGCATAAGCCCACAGTGCCGGTAAGGTGTTTCCTTTTGGTAGCCCTTTGCTTGTTGAGACAGGAAGGAGGAGGAGGGAGTCAAATCGGTCCCATTTGCTGGGGTCTGACCAGCAAAGTGGAACCAAAATAGGGCTTTGGGAACACTAAATCCATGAGAAATTGCTGACGACTTCATAGCAAGTGAAGGTAGGTGGGGATTTTTTCTGCTAGAGTTTAAAGGCAAGCTGTCTGAGAGTGCATTTACTTGCTCTGTCCTAGCAAAAACTTCCCTGTTTTTCCCAACGAGGAAGGCATCTTATTTGAATTTCAATTAAAACACTAGAAAAGTGGAGTAAGTTTTTTTCCCCTTCCTTTCCATTTTTTCCCCCTCTAACAGTTATAAATGGGGCTTATGGGGAAATGCCCCCTTACAGCCATCATGTCTTCTCTAGGAAACTTTGGACTTCGTAGTCCTACTAGAAATAGATCATCTAGTGAGAGAAGCAGTGATGTGAACTGATGGAGTAAGTATTCTTTTGTCACCTTAAATCTGAATTGCACTATGTTTTTTAAGAGACCACATCTCATCCAGATACTTGGGAGATACAGGAGATTAATTACTGAAAACCTGCAATTAAAACCATTGGACACATGAAAGGCTGGGTTATTTATATATAGCTGCATTAGACGTAGGGTAATTCAGGAAAGATTAAATGCCCATTTGTATTTGAACATGGCCCACCCTGCTCAGCTGCTGTTAGACATGCATCACACTGAGTGCTAAAGCTGCAGGCACATGCATGTGCAAGGTTATTTCTGGAGATGGCTTTGTAATAGAAACTTAAATACATCTGATAAACATCACAGGCACAAATGGGGCATCAGGGGAGCATCCTCTGCCCAGGCCGCTGCATCGGGTGTCCTAGGCAGCGCTGCTTCTCCCATGGCTGGTCAGGGACAAGCATGGCATTTATTGCTAGAGACATGACCAGGATTCCCAGGGAAAGGAAGCTGCTTTTGTTTGCTTTGCCCCATGAACCCTCTTGAGCGCTGTTTTCTCTGATCTATATCTATAACCGAGCCTGGATTTAATTAAGTCCAGTCTCCTTTAATGCCCAAGGGGGTTTGTTCCATGTATGGGAATTTTCCTCTTCTGGAGAGAGCAAGGTAACTGCGGGCATTTGAAAGCATTGCTTCATCCTGGGTTGTTTAATATCATTTCCTGAGCTGGAGCAAGAAGACCATCTGCTGTGTTGTTTTTTTTTTTCTTGCAGTCCCTCAGCCCCTACGCCTGCCTCCCCCCTGCCTCCACGCCTGCGCAACCTCTCGGCTCCCACAGATCCCAGTCGGATTCAGCAGCTGACCTGCTCTCAGCGCTGAGCCAAGAGGAGCGAGACCTCATCGAGCCTGTTATAGCCTTGGGCTACCCCCCCCACAAAGCCATCCTCACCCTCCAGAAGACTGGAAGGCAAAGCCTAAGTCAGGTTGGTGGAGCTGGCATGGCACTGCAGAAAGCTTTTGGTAAAGAAAAACTTGATTTTCACGGAGAAAAGGATGGCTGTCTTGCTTGGGGTGGACTTCTGATGGCCTTGGGTTTCCCACTTTGGTATTAGACCTCAGTTGGCAGGATTTTCCATGAGATCACACGTTTGCACTTTTGCTGTAATAAAATAGCAATGAGTCGCTCTCAGCTTTTCAGCAAGTAATAACGTCCGGGTAACGTTATCTGTTCAATCTGTTGTATGGAGCATGGTGTCCTTTTGAAGTACAAATTTTCCCCCCGTATATGGAAACTTTTTGCACATCATTTTTTCCTGGCTGTTAGATTCGTATGATTATTGCCATGGCTCATCCTGTCAGAGCCGGACTGTACAAATACCTCAGAGATTTGTCTGGGCTGTCTCCAAAACACAACTTCCCCATGTCGGAGCAACCAGGGTCTCCATGCAGGCATTGTGGCTGGGTCCCAGAGCTCTTTTCCTGAGGAACCCTGTATGATAACCTGGAATTTATTGAAAATAATTAACATACAAGCTCTTCCTACCCCTGATATCTGAGTATATCTCAGCCCGCTGTGCTGCATCCTGATTCCCAAGGTCTCTGCTTGTCCAGACAAACCCTTTTGTGGTCCAGGTGGGCTCCGAGCATCTGTGCTATGAGGGATGCTGCTGGCTCTGACCCTCTGGTGTGGCAAGCTTGGGGCTGGACCTGCCCATCTCAGTGGAGGATTTAACATAGCTAAATTATATAAGTAGCTCTTGCAGAGAGAGAAGGGGCTTAATCACAGTTTAGCAAGAAGGATGTCCACCAGGCTGTCATGCCAGGGAGCAAGAGCAGCCCCTGGGCAGAGGTGTGAGCAGGAATGGCACTGAGCAGCCACCAGTCTCCTTCCCTTGCTCCCGGGGAGCTGCCTGTTCTGTGTGGGCCAGCTCTTACCCGTCTGGTCGGTGCACAAAGCTGCTCTGCAGCTGAGTCATCCTGCAGCTTCTGGCTCCCTCCTGAGTCAGCCCCGGCTGGACCAGCCTCCCCAGATGCTCGCTGGTGTTTTAGGTGATCGTTGCTGCAAGCCAAGGTGGGAAGGGAAGCTTCATTTCTTCAATTCATAAAGGTTTCATCTAGGCAGAGAGAGATGGGCAGAGCCCAGCCCACGCTCTTTGCATGCAAGGGTGTTTGGGAGCAACTGCTGTCTCAAAATGAAGGAGCAGCACATCTTATTAAGGATGGAAATGGGTACAGTCTGCTCCCTTCTGTGTAAACACAGGGACTCCCGTCCTCTTGGAGAGGTGCTTAATGCACCAAAATACACAATCTGCCCTACATTCTGTGCCTTCTTCAATAGAAGTTCCAATCTTTCTCATTTATGAACAATACAGCCAAAATAAAATGTAAGGCCCTTCGTGCGTCTCTTACAAGTACAAAACTGCCAAATTAGACTAAACCTTCCTAGAAAATATTCTTCAACTCAAGTTAAAACCAAGAACTGTGGGTGCTCTTCATTGCTTGCTGGTGTCACACGGGGTTTCAGTGTGTGAAGATGACAGCTTCATCCATGAAGATTGATTGTAGTACCAGATGGTAGCCAAAAATTGCTCAATTTCTTTGCAGTGTCAAGTCAATCTGGCAGAGCCCACCCTGGTGAAGGCAAGTCTGCTGCCTTAATGAGGCGATGCCTTCTCAATTTTGGTGGAAGAACCTCTCTAAAAGGCTCAAGCAGGGTTAGCTGCCCCAGCGTGCTAGAGGTTCATCATCTAGGATGTCATGGGCAAGGGCTAAACCAAAAATACATCATTACGTCTTGATCAGTAATCATTGATTGATCAAAAATGCATCACTGATCCACGGACCTCTCAATGTGTGTGTGAGAAGCAACAAATGGCTGCGGCTGGTCAACATCCATCTCCACAAATAGCCATGGGGTTCAGAGCAGGGTGTTCACCGTGGGATGCAGCCCTCTGCACCAGCCCCCTCCTGGCCATGTGCAGGTGGGGACCCTCTTCCTGTGGACTGCTGGACTCTTATGAAATTAATAATACAGTAAAATACATGTTCATCTGTGCTTCTGTAATGTGCTTCTGGCCCTTTCCTCCTCCAAAAGAACGTGCTGTCTTACCCCAAACAACAAATCGAGATCTTCAGCACTTCCTGCAAGCCCTGCGTCAGCCATCCCCACTGGTGGTGGCTCCCTGAGCCTCTCTGATGCTTATAGAAATTGCCTCCTTAGTGGTGGTGCTTGCAGCAGTGAGTTGAGCAGGGCTGTCTGCTGTGGTGCTGGCTAGGGTCTCCCTGTTCCCCCAGAGAGCCTCTGTCCCTGGAAGCTCAGCACCCAATACCCCACCAGGTTTCCGCATCCCTGGCTTGAACCCTGCTGCAAGACTGGGGAGATGTTTACCCTGTTCCTCCACGATGAAATCATCATTTGGGTCTTTGGTGGTGTTTGTTCATGGTTTTTTCTGTGCTGGTCCAGGTGGGTTGGTGAGATGGTTGGTGGTAAGGCTTTGCTCTTAAGCAGCCAATCGTTGGAGCACCTGAGGTGGGGACCTCATGGGGACGGGCCTTTCCGATGGGAGCCAGCCAAAGTGGTATAGGGATGTGGAAGATAAAAACCCACCAGAGAGGGAGTTTCCTTTACATCACTGCATATGCTCATCTTTGATGTGAAAAGCTAGATTGCCACACATAACATCAAGTAGCAGCAAATGAAGGAAGAGAGAAATCAGCAGGTTACTGATCTACCAGAGCCTGGAGGTCTCTTCCCACACGAGCAGTTCGTGATGAGGTTATTGGGTTAGCCGGGTGGTGGATAAAGCTGAGCTCTCCAGGGGTGCCTGTGCTGGAGGAACTTCACAGCTCAGCATTGTAAGGAGCCTCCTTGAGAGCTGCCAGGGGAGAAGGAGCTTTAGGAAGGCAGCAGCACCTCCTCCTCCTCCCCAGTGAGCAGTGAGGCCAGTTCCAGACTCAGGGGTTTAGCAGGTCATAGTATTTAAAAACCTGTTTTTGTTTAGTCTTGAGGATATATATATATATTATTTTTTTAATGATAAAAATCATTGAGTTGACAACGGCACCGATTTCATGCTGGGCTTGAACAGGCTGCCAGGACTGTCTGTGCTCTGCCGTGAGCACGGCAAGCGACTGTCCCTGCTGCAACAGGGCAAGAAACTACAGCAGTGATCTGTGGTTTTTAGTTAGTAAGGTGACGAGAAAAATAAAAACAGGTTAGGAATGCCAATGACGAGTGACTATCTCATTTTTAACTTAAAAAGCTGCTCCTTAAGGCTGATGTTTCTTAAAATCCTTACTCTGCTGTTGAGCCAAACTAGATCAACTCAACATTTGAGGGACTTTTTTAGCTTTTTCATGTTTTATGGTCTTTTACTGAGTACTTCTCCTTAGCTACAGCGATGCTCGGGAGGGTGGAGGTCGGTGCTGGTGGATCTAGGGAGATATGAATCAGCTTCTCCTTGGATGAAGATGGGACAGCTTCAGGGAGACCTGTGGGATGTTTTTATTCCCCCTGCTATTGTATAGCTCATTTATTATTGCTTGTCCCATATGTTTTTGGACAGTGAATGATTCTCATGGTATGTAAAAGATACCGCTGGGAATAGTGCTGTCAGCACTCCAAGAACAATGAGGAAAGCCAAAAATAACTGTTTACTTTCAGTAATGACAGCACACGAGTCTCCCCTGGGGTGGGTTTTGTGCTCAGACCCTGAAGTGAACCCGCAGGCACCCGAACCCCGGCGCATCAAAGGGATACTGGCTCGGCTGAGGGTAGGCATCTCACCGGGACAGGCTCTGTCTCACACTGCAGCCTGGAGGCCACTGCTGTGTGTCTCAGATGATTCAGATGTTTGCTCCTTGTCCTCCTTCTACCTTGTTCCCGTTTCTACCCTGGGAGCCTGAGGGCGAACAAGATGTTTTCTTCTCCTGGTGGAGTCTTGCTGACAGACCGCCCTGACTAAGCATCAGACGGGAACCAGCAGAACAGTGGTGGCCCAGGTCCTCCCCATGAGCGTGTGCCTGGGAGGTGACAAGGTGGGCTCCTGAGTGTACTCACTCGCCACGCTTGCAGGGTTGGATTAACCCCCGTTGTCTTCTTCTGCAGTTCCTGAGCTACCTGGGTGCCTGTGACCGGCTGCTGAAGCAGGGCTATGAGGAAGGCCAGGTGGAGGAGGCCATGGAAATGTTCCAGTACTCGGAGAAGAAGGTAAGAGCAGCGTGGCACAGCCCAGCCCTTTGTGCTGCATCCTCCAGGCTTGCTTTTCCAGTGGGCTGCACAGTCCCCTCCTCCTCCTCTGCCACCCCTTGCGCAGTCTCCAGGCAGGTCAGACCCATTGCCCTGCGAGCAGTGAGCCCACACTTGCAGCAGACCCCCAGAGAAGTGTCACCATAAGGGGCCCTCTCCATTGCTCTTCTCCATCCACCCTCTCACTCCGCCACACAAGCACGATGCTCACTTAGCCCCTGCCGGGGAATCCCACACCCTGAGCCCACTGTCACCTGCGCTTGACACCTCCCTCCCGGCTCCCCTTTTGCATTCTCCCCCCAGGGCGAAGAACCATGGTGGCATGCTGGGTGTTGGTCTCCATCATCACTGTCCTCCTGGGGATAATGAAGAGCCTGGTGGGGGGTAGAACTGCTTGAAATTTGGGCTGCGGGGTGTTTAACGTGATGCTTATAGCACGTAGTATTATCAGCTCACTGCTCCTTTGGGCTGTGGCAGCAGGAGGACGCTTGGGTCTCGGTGTCAGGCAGGGGGTTATTTATTGAGGACACGGCTCCAGGAGATGTTGTGGTGCTGGGGCCCAGCCTGAGCAAGGAGGGAAGCAGGACAAATTAATTCCAGCTTGCACTCACTGCCTTTCCCTGGTCTCTTTATAATGCAGGCAAACACTTGTGTGGAATTTGTATTAAATTTTATAAGGAATAAGTGAAGCTAGAGGCTGACTTTTTAAAATATTTCTTATTTTAAAAGTTGATGTAAAAGCACACTTTTAAATGCTAGCTGCAGTATGCGTGCCCTCGCCCTGCTGTTGGCATGCCCTTAACCAGTAATACAACCCAGCCGGGTCATTTGGCTGCAGCCTCGTCACCCAACACTCTTCCTGCTGCAGTGCTACGATAAATCCATCCTTAAAACCCCATGATAACATCACTCCTTTCTCTTCCTTCTTCCTCCAGGCAGCTGAATTCTTGCATTTGTTAGCCCAGTTTAACGATATGGGTTTCCAGCAAAATGAAATCAAAGAAGTTCTTTTGCTTTGTGGGAATCAGAGGGAGAAGGCGCTGGAAGAGCTCGTGATGAAGACCCAGTGACCAGGTTCTGGACCTCAGTCACAGCTTCCCCTCTCCAGACCAGACCTCCGAAGGACTTGGTTGGGTCGGTGGGCGCTTATCCTTCTGCTGCTCCATCCCCTCCCCGAGCAGCACGGCTCAGCGGGCACAAACCTTCGAAGCACTGGCTTGGTGTCTCATCATTTTGCGGACATCCATCATAAGCATGTTATCACTGCACTAAGGCAAAGGCTTTATAGCAGGAGTGTTTATCTCTTCACCCACACATCTCCACCCTTGGTCATCTCAGCTGTTTAGATTAGATGCAATAAGATCCAAACCGCCTTTGGCTTAGATTTTGCAAAACCCAAACCACACTTTGCTCCCTCCACCTGGGGTGATGGATGTTGTGTTTTCAACTACAATCAGATGTGGATTCTTAAAAGATTTTATAAATCAACAGAAGAGATTGTTTTCATAAAAACTGAAAGCTCCTGCAGAAACATTTGTCAGTCCTTGCTTGGGAAGAGTCTCATGACTTAGTCATGGTTGAATATTGTAATTGAAATCCAGTCCGATCACATTAACTTCTTTTAAACCAGAAACTTGAGAAAAATACACAATTCAGTGAGGGTAAGGGTAGAAAACAGGCTGCCCTTGCTTTAGAAATATGTGAAGTTTATCCAGTGCAATGAAAAGTGGCTTATGCAAGGGTTTGTGCTTGGGCAATTTTATGAAATCAGAACAGAGAGATGGGGAATGGCTCGGCTGCCCTTGTGCTCTGCCCAAATCAGGAAAATTCAGGGGATGGTTCCCTAAACTGTGGAGACAGTGGCTCCAAATGAAGTTAAGCATGAATGTCAAGAGTCAGGAAGATCTGGATGCCCGGGGTAATTTTTGTATATAACTGAAGGACAGAGATTCAGATCACCTTACGGGACACGTCTTGTGGCTTGGCAGTGGAACAGCGGACAGTGTTTTCATGTAAAAAATATATTGGTTTCTTGTGAATTAGATACAGATGTAATTTCTTTGAGTAAAGATGGTTGGAGGGGTTCTTCTGAAATGTATTTGTGTCTTTTCCTGTGAAAATGCCAACTGGCACAACCTAGCAGAGAAAATCCTTAATTAGTTGCATTAGTACCATTTTTCCATTGTATCCTTCCAAATGATCTCCCAGCCCAGTGTGCTGCCATCACGTTAAAACACTGTGTCCCTTCTCCCTGTATCTCTAGGTAGGTGCCAAACACCATCAGGCGGGTACAGCCCTCCATGACTGCCTTCATCCTCGCCTGGATGCAGCAAGGAAACTTGGCATCCAGGTTTTGGTGGACTTGACCCCTCCATACCCAAGGATGTTTCATACCTGCTCATCTTTAATGGCATTGAAAAGGAAAATAGGGCACCTTGTATGGCCAAGGGAGATATTCATGAGGCGCTCTTCTTGGAGCTCCCAGCCCTATTTTTCCTCCAGCTTTCCCTTGGTTATACAAGCTTTTATTTTTGATACAGCCCTTATAAGGCAAGTCCATTCTACAGACAGCTTTTCGTTACGTTCATCCTTGCCAAGATGATGTCACCTTAAAAAAGAAACTTGCAAAAGGTTAAACTGTGATTAGATAGATCGCTTTGCCTCGCACTGTAATCTTTGGCGCAGTAAACAGCATGAAGATTGAAAAGGGAAGATAACGGTGCTGCGCTGGTGCCAGTAGGGCATAACACTGAGGGCTAAATTCTGGTGGAGTGAAGCACATTTGCAGCATCGTGCCCACTCACTGTGCATGTGCAAAGGCTGAGCAGCCTCTCGCTCTTAGAGATTTGCTTGGTCCTGGCTCCTCAGTTTTTCCCCCTGCTTGCAGAGGTAAGAACTGTATCTTTTTTCCTCCCTGTGCACCTAAAATTGCCTTGTGTTACTTTCTGTATCATGGTCTGGATTGATGGATGCAACAAATTACTCCTGTCTTGGGAGCATCCGTGCCATAGTCAACAGTGCCTGCCAAGACCTGCTCTTTTCGCCAGGTGCTACACTTCAAACCTTTTGCATTTTGTCGGCAAGTATCTTTGTAAAGCCCTGAACTATCAAAAAAACAGCATGTGAAGGTGGAGGGAGAGGTTGTATTGCTTGGTGGTGTCAGAGCTGGAGGGAAGGGGAAAGCCTGCCAAGTTCAGCTGTCCCGGGTTACCCACAGGAGCCTGTCATAAATATTTTAGTAACAGAATTATTTTAACTTTATTTTAATGGAGAGTTTAAGCTGTTTGTTCAACTTAAAAAGGTTTTGAAGCGGCCTGCTTCCATGTGCTGCTTTCAGTTAGGAGAAGGCAACATGAAATGTTGATTTGCTTTGTCTAGGAAGGGAACAAGGATTTGACTTGATGGGCTTTCTGCTAACAGTCCCCCCCGAGGATAGTGACGCCACTTAGCTAATGCTGCGGCACAGTGTAGAGCTGGGTGATGTCCACCAGTGTCCCCTGTCTCCCCTGAGCCACCATCAGACCTGCACCTCCACCAGCTGTGGTCCCCATCTGAGGGGTGACAGTGGGATGGTGGCTGGCCCAGTGGCAGAGGGAAAATGGGGACAAGGCACATCAAGCAGGTTTTAATCTGGCCATGGATGTGAGCTGCAGTTTTCTTGTTTGTTTTGGTTTGTGGTTGTGTTGTGTGGGTTTTTTCCTCAATTGCGGTAAGTGTTTTGAAATTGCTGAGAACTTGGCGAGGGTCAACAGCGGAGGTATTTGAAGCATCCCAGCTGGTATTCCCTTCCGCTCTGCTTTGGCCAGGATGGCATGGGCAGCCCAAAGCCTGCCCCACAGAGGGAAATGAGCTGAGCCATGGGCTGGGTTTGCTGCTGGCCTGGTCCCTGCAGGTCTCCCAGCAGTGCTGCAGTCACAAAGGGCAGCTCTGCCTTCTCCAGCCGTCCCCGAGCCGGTGGTGAGGGCTATCAACCTCCAGTACCAGGGAGTGGTATCTCATGAGAACAGCTCATCTGCTTACAGAGCTCTGCTAGTGGAGAAGACCTCTGCAAGCCTGGCATCACCCTTCAGCGGTGGTGCACTCTCCCTTCCCTCCCTCTGTATTTCCAAGCTTTGCCATGTCCTAAAAAGACTGTCTTGGCTCAAATGAGCCTCTGATGAGTGCCAGCACTTGCCACCCCATTGGGTCCATGTTGGGGCTTGGCAGACAAGACTCAAGGAGACAACAGCTGGCTAATGCACTTGGGGAGGAGGGGGGTGATGGATGGGCCCCAGAAACCCCTCAGTGCATTAAGCACCCGATGCCCAGCACATGCTTTCCTCACTCCCCCTCCTCCTCACCTCCTCCCAGGACCCTGGCTACGTCTGGGAGCGGCCATGAAGATCTCCCTGGGGAGCGCGGGGCTGCATGGGAACTGTGCTCCCACGTACAACTGAAACAGAGCCGCAGCTGAAAAAGCATTCAGCGGGTAGGAGGGAGCCTTGACGTGGATCCTGTTAGGAGGTATTTTCCTTCAGAAAGGAGGGGAAAAAAACCCAAACCCAAAGAGTAATGAAACCCACATTTTTTTTTTTTATAGCTTTCCTTTTAATTCTGGGATATAATAAATGATTTCCCATCAGAGCAGAGAGGAGGTGGGATGCTGCACACCTTCAGAGTGTGGTCAGAATAAATAAAAACCTTATTTGCATCTTCCTGGTATCTGTCCTCTGCAGAAGCCACAAAACCCTGCCTGCAGTTGGCTCGTGAGCCCACATCTGGTAGGACTTTGCACACAGCCCATGCAGTGCAGGTAGAGGCAGGCAGCAGCTGCCTGAAGCCGCTTTCCCTCTTGGCAGGGTCTAGTGTCACCTCCAAGGCCCAACATGACACATCCCTGGACCTGAGCATGGCTCTGCAGAGGAGGAGAGAAGCCCGGGGGAGCAACAGATGTGGAGTCGAGGCCATGTGCAAGGAGAGAGCACCCTGATGTGGGATGGGCGGCCACCTACATTGCAATGTCATGGTCACGTCTCGGCAGCCGCAGGAGGAAGGTCTGCAGGGAGCCGCTGCGCGGGAAACCTGCCCGCTCCTTCTTGAACCTCCAGGTCTCCTCTTCCACGGAATAGAGGAGTGTCAGCATCTTGTTGACAGTGTAGACAGTGTCACCCCTGATGATGGCAGTGAAGAGAGCTCCTTTGCTGTTCAGGAACTGCCCGGGCAGAGCGGTCCACTGCCGCGACGTCAGGTTGAAACAGTCAATGACGCAACGCAAGAAGTCATCTGAGGGGCCGTTGCGCATGACATAGAGGTTGTCACGGTGGGCCACCATGCAGTGCCCGTAGCTCTGGTGCCGCTTGAGCTCAGTGACAGGAAGCCATGCATCTCCCTGGGTCTCGTACTCATAGATGACGGTGGTGTCCAGTGGCTTCCACAAGCAAACAAAGATCTGCCCCATGGCTTGGGCACAGGGTGCCGCCGCGCTTGGCTGGGGCAGGTCAGAGATGAATGTCCAGGTGCTGGAGGCCACGTCATACCTCTCCACGGACTTCAGCGAGATCTTCTCATACTCCCCACCAATGGCATAGAGGTAGCCCTCGTGGCCCACCAGCCGGACGTCATAGCGCAGCTGATGAGGGCTGGGGAACTGACTCCAGGCATTGGTGTCAGCATCGTAGCAGAAGCTGCTCTCCACCACCTGCTTGCTGGCCCCGTAGACGCCACCTACTATGTAGATCTTATTATCCATGGTCGCCATGCCGGCTAGGAATGTGCTGGCGCTCAGCGGCAGGCAGGAGAGGGTCCTCCATGTGTTGGTCTCCTCATCCAAGTAGCAGATGGTTCTGGAGAGGTCCTCCAGGAACTCGAAGGTGGGTGTGTGGGCTCCCACTGCCACGAAAGTGCTGGGCGGGAGGGTCTCCACGTAGGCCAGCAGGTCAGTGGAGAGGCAGTCCAGGTACTCCTTCAGCTCGGCGTAGCTGTCCCTGATGTAGAGTGCGGCGCAGTGGAAGAGGTCCAGGAGGCCAAATATGGCGGCAGCTTGGTACAGCAGGATGCAGTTGTCGGAGTTGATGGAGTGGATCAGGTACTTGGCCAAGGGCTTCACCTGCAGGAAGGCGGCACACTCAACCGCCTGGAAGGTCTCCTCACTGCTGAGGATGGGCCTCTCGCCTGCCAGCACCCGCAGCATGGCGAGGAACCCGGCTGCGCTCAGCTCCCCCAGCCCGATCTCCTCCTGCGTGCTCTCCCTCATGCCTGAGCGGAAGAGGGCACGGAAGTACTCGCTGCTCTCCACCAGCAAGGTCTTCTCCACCCAGAACGACTGCTCTTCCACCCAGATACACACCCGCTCTGGGGGCCCTGCCTGGGAGCCTTCCTCCTCTGGGGTCATCCTCAACCAGGGGCTCAGCAGCTCTTGGGGGGTGTGGGGCAGCACCCGATGCTCCTCCATGCCGTGTCCTGGCGCAGCCCCTGCTGCCTCCACCACCCTTTGATGCCTTTTCTGTGCTGCCCGGCGGCCGCCACGCCACTGCCTTGGAGTATAAATACCTTCAGCTAAAGATAGCCGAGCTCGTGACTGGGGCCTTTCAAAGGCATCCGCCGAGCTCAGCTGCCCACCCAAAACACAGGCAGGGCCCCGACGTCACCGGCCAGCGCAGGTCACAGCGGAGATGCCCGGCTCTATCACAGCTCGTCTGCCAGGGCAGATGGGTTTTGCTCTCCCCACTCTCAGGCATCCTTGTGATGCCCTGAAGGGACAGTCACCACTTCAGGCAAGGCAACATGTTTGCATGGCTGGGAAGAGCATGTTACCACACAAATTTTTTTCCCCCCCTTAAAATGTGGGGGTTATGGCCACAGGGAGGTAACTGATGCCAGCAAATCTTGGTGTGGTCCATCCCAGCTGTGGGAAAGGGGCTTGCTGCCCTCTGAGTGTGGCCACGGGCAGAGAGACACCTTTATGGGGCCAGTCCCTTTGCCACCCTCTGCAGGGAGGAGGCATAGAGCAACCAGAGAAACATCCATCCCGGGTGCAAGGACCCTTAAACCAGCTTGATCTGAGGATCCTGTGGCAAGGAAAATGAAGTGCAGCAACCCCTTCTCTCCAAAAAAGTCCCCTCCAGCCCCATTCCCTGTAACGCCCAGCTGCGGGCAGAGACAACCCCTGTGATTCATGTGGAGGTTGACGGTGGAGAAAAGTGTTGTTTGTGGCACATCACTCGTTTGTGTACTATTCACAGCTTTTGCTGGGCAGAAATCCCATTTGGCTTCTGCTGTGGGGTGCCAAGGAGGGCCAGCAACAGGGCTCACCTGGGAGGCTGCTCCCCGAGTCTCCTCATGGCCACCTGCAGCTCATGTTTAGTTTTAATGCATAATTGAAACCAAGCAGCCCACCCTGTTGAAGGTATATTTTTTCCTTCCTTCCTCCTTACCCCCCCCCCATCCCAGCTGGGAGCTCCTGGGGCACCATGTGACAGCAAAGTAATTGCCCCAGAATTATGGCCTCCGCAGGTTCCCTCCAAAACAAATCTCAGTTTAGGGGAGAAGGTGAGAGCTTTGAGCTTGTGTTACTGTCATTGGGCCTTTTGAGTACCCAGCTTAGAACACCACATTTAGCTCTGATTGCTTTCAAGCATCTTTGACCTGTGTCCAGAGGGGTCTGGGAGCCGGGGGTCCCCAAGGGGCTCTGCATCCCGCAGAGCAGTGATCCCCCGGGGCTTGCAGGGACTTCCACACTCCCAGACTATTTTGGGAGGGTTTAAAAATATTCTGCCTGCATTAACGGGCAATAATCCCAACGGCGCAGCAGCCCCACATGGCCACGGAGCAGCCTTCACCCCCTGGCTACGGCCCCCCATAGAAATCCCTCGGGCCGGTTTAGGGGCCGTATCCTGCGGTCCCGGGCGCTGAGCCCCATCCCAAATGGCTGCGATCGCCATGACAACGCTGACTTCAGCCTCCGCCACCTACTCGGGCTCGGAGCCCGCTGGGTGCCGGTTGATGGCTTGGTGCGGGCAGCGGTGAGTACTCCCTGTGCTCCCCTTTCCCCCTCGGGATTGTGCCTTTTGGGTGGAAAGAGGGCTTTTTTTTTCCCCTGCAAAGCCTCTGCCAGCAGCAGCCATGTGCTTAAATGCATGCGAAGGAGCTGGGCAAGCGGTGAGCACGGTGGCAGTGCAGGCAGCATCGCTCCCGGGTGGGAGGTGTAATGAGTGCACCGGCCTCAGCCCAGGGGAGCGGGACCTGGCTTTTGCTTGCTGGGGACACAACAAGGTGCCAGAGACATGACGAGGTGGCCTCTGAGCGGAGGCGTGGTGGGTTTGGGGACTGGGGGGGTCACTGCCCGAAGCCCCGGGAGCTTGGGGGGCTGGCGTGTGCCCTGCCGGGGGACCGTCCTCGGGGTGGCCAGGGCAGTGTGTCCAGCCCGGCGCCGGCGCGGCAGCTTTCCTTACAAGGAGTTTGGCTGGGGCCCG